CATCAGTTAACTCTGCATAATTATTAACGAGAAAGTTGAACTATGTGCTTCTCTCCTTTCCACACTTCACAAATTTATTTGACTAATCCAGCTGAGATACAAAACCAAATTCGTGAAGTTCTCATTAGGAAATGAATTTATATTCAATTCATCTTTGACGAATAAGTTCTATGGCAGGAAGTAACAACAAATTATAAATATTATTATTACAGACAAATATTTTGAAGTGAAAAAATTCAAAGCAATTGTTTTATGCATATAATTTGCGAGCAGCAATTTGAATGTTTTAAACTGAAATCAAGTGAAAACTTCCATTAAAGTAGACTCAAATTTTACACTGCTACAGTTCACTCTTTTTCTATAAAAATGCCCAGTTCCTAAAAATTATTGTCACTATTCTTCGAGACAAAAGAATGAGAAAACTGAGAGCGAAGTTGTTATATTCAATTAGGCAAAAATATCCTTTGGAAAGGTATAAATCCATCTCTTCCCCCCCCCACGCCAGCTATGAGTTAAATACTAGTACTTGTATTTGGAAAAAAATTGTTATCTCCAAAAATTATTAATACAATAATCACTCGCAAAAAAATGCAAGAATTATTCTTACATTTTCAAAATAAATTGTGACAAGGGGTTGATAGATCGTAAATCAAACAAACAAAATCAAATAAAAATTCAAGGCAAAAGTTGATTAATTTAATAAATTTTTATTGGAAGTGAATTTGGATCTTTGATGCCGAGTCATTTTTTCCTCACGTCAAAATAGTATCATTTTGTATTTACAAAATTCTGTAATGGGCTTGTTAACCACTGCTTGACAGCGTCTTCTTTTTAGGTTAAAAGTAAATATTACAACACATTGTTAAATATCAGGTATTTTTTGACTCTGTTTTCTTAGAACTTTTCAAGCACAAGTGATTTCAACTCTTCAGCTTGATAGGCTATATATATAAATGTGTATATGTATGTATGCGTGTGTATGTTTGTGGATGTGTGCTGAATGTATATATATATATATATATATATATATATATATATATATATATATATAATACATATTTATTATTATTGTAATTATTATTCTATCCATGAGAAAAGTAACAAATCTAGATTTATACATTTAACGACGTATTAATGCGGGAACTTTGTATCAAGTCTTGTCCAATTCTTCTAGAGTTACCTACTAAACGAATACCTGAACTTATTTCTAACGCATATCAGTGACGCATATCAGTGATCAATATTGTAACTTAGATGGCCATTGGAATTATGCGAATACAATTAAATATCTTTTCTATACAAAATGTAGTGAAGATCAATAGACATTCAACACATACGCCCATAAAACCTGCGGAGTGAGTAAGATGCTTGCATATTTCCGAACACCAATTAAACCGCTGATTTTCAAAGCAGACCAGTTTTGCCTACTTCGTGTCATAAATTTCCTACCTCATTTCTCTTCAATTATTCAATTTGTCTTTTTTCCTGATGACGTTGCCAAGCTTAGTAAATATTCAAGATTACACATACATGGCAAAACAACTGAGACTCTAGACTCTCCAGTAAAAGATATCCATAAGAAAAATGGATTTAAATGGGTAAAAGAAAACCTATTTTTCAACTGTTCTTTTTTCGATTAATGCCGTTCTCTCTCTATGGAGCAAATTCTGATTAGCTACTGGCAGAGATCGTCCTCATAGATTGGGACGAAAAGAAGACAGATATGGAGTGATACTTTCAACGGGATTATACGTGAGGAAGTGTATGGCGAATTACAGATGATGACAGCGCAGATATTCATTGATTTTTAAAGGCATCAGTAGCGCTATGGTTAAAAAAGAAAGCACACAGTTCCAAAAATAAAACGATTATTTTGCATAAAAATACTACATCACATTTGGCAAAGAAGACTAATAAATAGCTGAATAAAATTACCCCAAAAGAAAAATGTTAGAACATTCTAACGAGAAAGGTTTATATTGAGCAAATGTAAACTTTGGAATGCTTTTCTGAATGTTGTGCAATCTGTTTTTATACGAAGCTCACAAAATCAGTTGATGAATAAGTTCTAAAAGTAGTTTTAGAATATGGAGCATACATGACCCATTAATGTTGTCTTTATAACTTTGTCGAAACGTTTTAAATGTTTTCTTCAAACGATTTGTCCTTGTAAACCCTACGCCTGTTTTGTAATTTTAATTACAACGTAGTGTTTCTTGGAGTGTCAGTAATTTGTCTGGAACTTGGAAAATCCGGTAAACTGTTACCACATAGAAAGAGTGACATGAGGTCTACTATAATTTATACATATGTGAAATTTCTTACACATTAATAGTGCAAATATTTCCATAAATCCCTGCAATATTTTTAGGAAAATTTAGGAAGAAATAAGTGGCTAATAATATGAGTAGTCTATATATACGAGGATTGCTGAAAACTTGACGGTTGATTTGCATTCCCAAAATTGGCCAAATGACAAACTATCACAATGTTTCAATTCCTTCTGGTTCGGGTCGATGAATTTTCAAAAGTCATGATATTAGTTTTCTGGTAATCGTGTAGGACCTTTCGAAACCGGCAAAGTGCAACAATTCGACTTGGTATCGATTTCACATGTGTTAAATCATGCCGTCAAGATAACTGTCCACAACTCCCTTACATGTGTAGGTCCCAGATCTTGCGTGTGAACAGACCCCTCACTATGTCTTATAAATGCTCGATTGGGCTCATGTCGGACAAACCAGACTATCAGAAATCTCCAGACCCTGAAGTTTCGCATATCGTGATGAACGGTTGTTCTCTCCTTACTTTGAATGTCTACTGAGACTCGTTAACCTCAGATCTCAAGTAGAACATATTTTCCATCCATAGTTAAAGATACTCGTAAGATGATCGTATCTTCTTTGTATTGCTCCTCTTGTTATGTCCTATCTTTACAAGAGCCAGATCAGACCAAAAATGGAGCATTGCTGCCATATCTGTCCAGTCCAGACTTTTCAAACTTTACAGAGTTCAACGTTTCTACGCGGCCTTGTGGGTGATTAATTACTTTCTACTCTACAAATCTTCCTCACAAATGAAACGTCACAAGACTCTCGCTATTCTATCACTATTTGCATGGCAAATATTCTGACGAGCTCCACCAGTATAGTCCACGGCTAAAACCGAACATGCTGTTTACACTGTGAAAAAAACATCCTTATTTCATTCGTATTCCATTAATAAAAAGGAAGTTTCATTCGGACAGATTCTTCCCCAAAACTGAGAGGATGCTTCCCCGATCGTTACAATTTTAACTATGGTCAACCACTTTCTTTCCTCATAATCTACACTTTTTACCCCCTCCTTTTATGCTCATACAAAAACTTTATTCAGTAACCCTCTACTTTGAGTGGCTCTTGTCCTTCGTATTGGATGAGCAACTTAAACCTGATAACACAGTGCAACATGCTACTGAAAAAATGTGTTTAGGCAAACCTGCGAATATAACTCGGGTCATATGAAAATACCATAGAGCATTATGGAGCCACAATCAGACTTTAATCATGCCATCAGAAAGAAATAACTGAAATTATAATTTCTTTGACCACATCACAAGTTGCCAATATTCCAGGATACAATGAGCGACATATGCACTGCCATCCCTGGACACCAGAAATCAAAGGATGTCAAATGCCTGAATAATTTCAGAGACTGATTGGTTTTATGCATATTATATGCATGACAGTGGTGTTAGTGATGATTCTAAGAATCTGGGTAAAAAATAGACTACCCATAATGTAATGTAATAGACTACCCACAATGCATCACTGAACTATATATAAAAATAAACGAGAAAAACACAACGTATATGGCGTGACGATTGCGTTTAGCATGAAACAGACTGTGGACTCAAAGTGCTGACTTCAATGCTCACTTATATATATATATATATATATATATATATATATATATATATATTACCAAGAGCAGATCTATTATTTCAGTTAATACATGCCAATATGTCTTTTGTTAGTAGCCTCAGTATGAAGAATCCTTGTCACGGAACCAGATGCAATATATATTCAAAAAGTATTTTGATTATTATGGCGTGAATGGTTTATTTATTTGTTTATTATTTCCTTTATTTATTTGGATTAATTTATTTTACTTGTTTTTGCTTATTTATTTTTATTTATTCTTTTCAGTTTTCGATTTTTATATAACGTAGTCAAAATATCTTTTCGTGTCTGCATTTTGAGATGAGTTCTGATCGTTTATTTAGTAGTTTGTTTTGGTATTTTGGTAATTATAGCCATTTTTCCTCCAAGCAGAGTTTGCAGTTTGTCGCCTCTAAGTCTTGACTTCATTGTTCACTTTTATATTTACATACGCTTTATCTCTGATATTAAGCACTTTATCTCATAAATATAACATACCTTAAATCTACACACACATATATATATATATAATGTACTTTGCTGAATGGAAAATCTTACTTTCTCAAGGATCCGGACTCTGACTGTACGTGTCAAAAGTACATTCGGCAGGGATAATATGAACGAAGGGAATGTCAGTTAAAGAAACGTGTTTTAGCTACTTTAAGGAATTATGTTCAAGGAATCTTCTGCAAATTTCAAGTATTTCCGGTGTTTATTCAGATTGATTTTAATAATAATAATAATAATTCCCGAATAATCGTTAGAGCAAGTGTATGAAAGAAACAACAATCCCTAAATGACGAGAGAAAAAAAACTAAACTGCTACAAAATATACCAAGAAAGTAAAAGGTGCAAGCAATTTCACTCGGATAATAGCTTACCACACATATATGTGACCCTTGTGCCACATCTACTTTGGGGACAAAGTGTATCTAATAATATCTCAGTCGAAATTTGTGCTTGTTGATTTTACAATGAAAATTTCTTGTCTGTTTATTTTATAAAGTAGCGCCAAGTTTTTATTTCCACTTATTTTTCCTAATTAGACACCGATAATTCTATTTTTCTCGTGTTTTTCAGGTTTACAAGGAATTTCCGTCCATCAGACAAGAAACTCAAAAAAAGAGTACAATGGCCCATTATCGCACAGAATTACATATTCCAGTGAAAAAGGACAGTTTGACTTTTGAGGATCGTCAAATGAAAACCTGGGAAAATGTCCAGACCGAGTTGAATGATCGGCGCTCTCAGTGGGAGAAAGAATTCGAAAAGATGCGCAATGAGTTCTTCACTCTGGCACCGACTGACACGAGCACCGGTGACAAATTTAGCAAAATCGACGGTTTTCGTAGTCTTTATGAGTTTGACGACCAAGGAAACCGAAAGTTCAAGGTCCGTTTTGATGTGAGTGATTTCAGCCCCGAGGAAATCCAGGTGAAAGTTCAGGACAACAAAGTGGTCATCTATGGAAAAACCGAAGAGAAGAAGGGCAATTCGACATTCAGTCGCGAATACAGTCGACAGATTGATATCCCCAGGGATGTTGACCAGGACAAAATTACATGCGTCATGAGCAAAGACAATATCCTCACTGTGGAGGGACCGCTGCTTCCTCCCGCGCAGGGTAAAGAAGCAACGTTTCTACCAATCAAATGCGAGACTGTCCCCAACCTGTCCCACAAGAGCACTGTACAGAACTCCATCATCACTGAGCCAGATGGAGCAAGAAAACTTCACCTTCAGGTCGACATCGGAGAATACAAGCCAGAAGAAATTGTTGTAAAAACGATGGACCGGAAATTGATTGTGACAGCGCGACACGAGGAAAAGATGGAAGGCCGTACGATACACAAAGAGTTTAATAAAGAATTTGAATTACCAGAAACTGTCGACCCGATGAGTGTAAATGCTTTCTTAAGTGAAGATGGTAAGTTGACGATAGAGGCCCCGCTGAAGCCATTGTCCCGTCCGTCATACTCAGTTACCCAGAGCTCGGATGTCCGCAAAGTGGTAGTTACTAAGGAGTCACAATTCACTATTACGGATAGTACCAACCGACCAGTGGTAACAATAAACGTACATCCACGCTGAGTGAGGCCCGCCATTTAAAAAAAAATGGCTCAAGATGTAAAAAAAAAAGAAATATATAAAAGCAAGTTCACACGACATATATACGAACAACAATAACACACAAACACACACACACACACACACATATATATATATATATATATATATATATATATATATATATATATATATATATATATCTTCGTAATTATTTCATATTTTGATTTTATTTAAAAGCTCAAAACGTATGTAAATAAAGGTCAAAAACTTAGCCATAGTCACACAAAATATTAAAACCCAGCAACACACTCTACGATCAAACATTTGACAGTGGATTATTTATTAAGAAATCGTGTTTTAAATGTGGGTTTGAATCTCACTTATGGCTATTTCATTTGGCATTAATTATATATTCTGTGAGTGATAGTAAATGAAATAAAATCCAAATTTTAGTGAAATAATTGTTAAGATGTGTCCTGATAAGACTAACGTAAATAATTTTTAATAACTATATAAATGTAAATTTTTCGTGCAACCGAACTAAAAACAAGATATACATTTTAATATTTTTCATTTTGACTATCAATGTAAAACAACTGAGAAAATCTACTCCCTTCTGTACATCAAAAAATAAATTGTCCAAAATCAATGATTACAGTAATAATTATATAATTTATGTCCTATAAGTAACGTAAATCGAAAATAGTATCAAAAGATCTGAATTGAAAAGGTTAGATGTAAAAATGATGATAGGACAAATCGAAACGAAATGTGAATTGTATAGAGTAAGTTTATAAAGAATGACCTCCAGCAGATGGTAGCTTTTGTTGCAGTTGCTGTTTACGCTGAAAAATATGGTAGACAGGAATATTGTTATTTGTTTGTTCGCATTTTCTTTTTTCTTTCTTTTTTTTTTGTTTTGTTTATTTTTGTTTGTTTGTTGATTTCGCTCTATTTACTACTATATTTATTTCACTTTTAACTATTTATGTTTTGTTCCGCCTATTGTAAGCGGCTATTTTAGAACAATAAAAATATGCACCATTTAAAATGTCGGCTGCTGCTTTTAGTGAGAGAAATTTAACTGACAGAAAAATCAGGAAAAGCTAAACTTCATTTGTTCATTTATATAGATACTTATTTTTTTATAAGCTAAGTTAAAAAGAGAAGACACAATTAATTTTAAAAAAATAATCAAAATAGAATGAAATAAATATCTACAGATTGATTGATGGTTTTTCTACATTCTTAGAGAAATTTATCGTGATTCTTATCATGAATCATTTTAAATAAATATATAAAGAAATGAAAACTGAATAAATGAATAAATATATAAAGAAATGAAACTGAAATAAACATTTTTTTTTAAAACGGCTTTAAGCAATGTGTAACGTTTCACGTGACGCCACATTTATTAATTCGGCGTCAATTTGTGTGTATATGTATGTTTGCAATACCTCTGTTTGAACATTACGACTATTGTGTTTTGTTGTAAAAGATGACGCTTTATCTTCGAAAAGAATATTCTGCGCCACCAATTTCTGCTAAATGATGATTCATTTTTAATTATCTCAGACTAAAGTTAAAGTTTCGAAGAAAGTAACATGTATTAAACTGCAATATTATCGCTTGCCTTTGGGTGTTCAGTGTTATAATAAAACAAAAAGCGATTTTGTTCAATTGTCTTTAATTTTTTACTAAGAATATTATTGATTCTGCATGTAATACAGTTGTTCCCAACCTAACAGCTTTCAAAATAAATGTAAAAACACCACGACAAACATTTGCTCGTCGATTTAAAATAAACATAGGTGATATATTCGGGTTTATGTATTAAGCATATGATACGTGTCCAAAATTTAGCTTATTTTCGGTCTTCTCAAGTGATAACAAGAAAACCTGTATAGTTTTCCTTTAATTATTTAGTTATTAGTCATATTTGTATAAACACTAGTCTAAAAGCTTAAATCCGTTCAGATAATCTACAATATAATTGGTGACACTAATGGAAATATCTCGTCCTTTTAAAAGTCGATAATAAATTTGAATGTTTTACAAACTGTAATTATTGAACTGGTGAAAAATCAATAGACTCGCAACCGACTTCAAAATATCTTTCATTTACATACATAGGATTTCGTTGCATTTCATAGAAATTTCAAAGGTGATATCCAAAATATCCGGGAATTTTAACTGTAAGAGCTTTTGCTGTTACCTTTCATGAACAGTACTTTTTTATGACATCTTTGAAGAGGACACATTCGAAGATGTTAGATACTACTTGTTTGGGTAAGTAAATTATTATCAAATTTCCCGAACATGGGTTCTAAGATTGACCACTTTCTTAATGATTTTTTTTTTTAAGACTAAACTCTTTTTTCTGGGAAAAAGAAGTTGTAATGAATCTTTAATTATTTTATTAGTTCTTTGCTAGCTCTGTGGATATGCGTTCCAGGTGATATATTGAATGCTCACCGGAACCTTAATTGATTCTCGCAAGCTTTTCTGTCTGGAGTCATCGTCAGCTTCACAATTTGCCTAGTCTTACCATCGACATTATGACCCATTGCTTTTCCGGTATTTGATTGAATCGGTTGTTCCATTTGAATTGATTGTCACTGTTGGTTAAAATGTTCCATTTGTCACGGAAATAGTAATTTTAATTGAATTTTACAAATTCCAATAATAATAATAAGAAGAATTTCTGTGTCATCGGAAGAGTCCACTACTCTTTTGATGACGTAAAAAGGTGTCACACACAAAAATATGTACGGTCCTTGGAATATTCAGTAGAGGTAAGGGAGCGGTCTTCTTTTCAGTAAAAATCCGAAATACACGTAACGGAAATAAATACATTCATAAACAAATATGTGCATGATATATTAATATTTATATAGATCTTATCAGACTGCATATATACACACATATACATCGAAACATATTCGTTCCTACACATACAATGTATGCGTACAACTGTACACACCCAAAGAGATAAGAATAATAATATGATCTCTGTAATTTGAAAAACATCAGTAAATTTGGCCGACATTTCTTATATGATTTATCAAATTTATGTCTGCCTGTCTCTGTCTCTCTCTCTCTCTTTCTCTCTCTTTCTCTCTCTCTCTCACTCTCTCTCTCTCTCTCTCTGGCTCTTTCGTTCTTTCTTCCCCTCTCTCTCTCTCTCTTTCTCTCTCTCTCTCTAACACACTTTCTGTGTATATGTACATGCGTGGATGTCACTGTATGTGTATACACATATACGAATAACGTAAGAGATAGATAAACTGTGTGTTTGTGTGTGGCATTAGTTTTTTTTATCTCTTATTGCTATTTGTTTGCTGATATAATCATATTTCTTCAAAAATCTTTCTGAAAGATAATCTAAGATCTCGAATCAGATTTGCTGGGAACTGCTTCACAAATAGACAGAAGTCTACTTTCCGAATAGACACTAATTGCTTACTCAAAACATAAGCACCACTTTTCCTACTTAACAATCTCGGTACATGGTTAAAAACTCTTTAATTTAGAATTGTTACTAAATTTGAAGTAGCAGTTAGAGGTTATATATTATTTTTACTCGCTTTAATCAATTAATTATTTATACTGTTTGTTCCTCCTCCTATCAGCATTTTATCTCTATATTTTATCATTTTATTTTATGTCATTTGACTTCGTTCATCACAAACTACTCCAAATTATGTCAACATTGTCAAATATATGACAGATATTGATAGGATTAGGTAAACTTTAGCACAATTCCAAATTCATGTAGAAAGATGAGAATTTTATTTATTTATTCTTTGTAATAAAAGCTTCTCGCTGTAGAAATTGATATTAATATTTCTAGAATGAGTATTTAACTTTGTTCGTTCTAAGGTTTTCACCTACGCTAATGAAAATTTCCACTAACTGTACATTAAGGCATTTTAATATTCTAAATAATAATATCACATTATATGTACATATAAATATAGATAAAATAAAAATATTCTACAGTTCTAGAGATCATTCTGACCCATCTAACTACCGTCCTACCACTCTTCGGCAAAGTCTATGAAGCTTTAATCATCGCCGAAGTGGTTAATCACCTTATATCCCATGATCTGCTCTCTGACAACCAATATGGTTTCCGCTTTGCCCGATCTACAGTTGATGTGCTCACGACCATAACTGAAATTGTTTACAAAGCACTTGACAATAACGGAGAAGCTCGTGCCGTGGCTCTAGATATCTCTAAAGCGTTTGATAGGGTTTGGCATGCCGGCCTCCTCCGCAAGCTTCAGAGATACGGAATTTCAGGTCAATTATTCGACTTAATACGTTCCTTCCTGTCAACCCGTGTAATGAAGGTCATCTTTAACGGATTTTCCTCCAGTTCCTTTCCCACGAACGTAGGAAAAGACTGAACCCTACTCTGTTCCTTATCTTCATTAACGATCTTCCCGATGTCATCAGTTCTCAAGTAGGCATCTATGCAGACGACACTACTATTTACTCCTGCCTCAAAAGCATATCTGGTATCGCTGACAAAAATAACATGGCTGTTAGTCTCGAAAAGGACCTCCAATCGGTTGTTGACTGGTTAACCTTCCTTGCCTCCCATTAGAATGTCTGATGCTCAACTCCACGAGAGTACCTCTTTGCGACTGCTTAGTCTCACAAAGTCCGCTGACATGAGATAGAGCAAATACATTGAATCAATAGCTTCATCCACCGCAAGGAAAGTTGGTTCTCTGTGTCGCGTCAGAAAGTTTTTTTCTCGCCTCAGTCCATCCTTCAAATCTATAAATCAACCATTCGCCCTTGCATGGAATACTGCTGCCATATATGGTCTGGTGCCTACGCTGTTTGTCTTAAGCTCCTCGTCAAAACCCAGAGACGGATATGCAATGTGATTGGTCCTGATCTGGCATTTCGTCTACAGTCGCTCTCTCACAGACGTGCCGTCGCCTCCTTCTGTCTTTTCTACAATTACTTTCACGGTAACTGCTCCGACGAGCTACTTTCGCTAGTTCCCAGACTGCATCAATTTAAACGTACAACTAGGTTGGCATCTCGGTCCCACCCTTTCACTATCGAAACGGTTAAATGTAGCCGTCTCCAATAGCTTCGTGTCTCGCACCTCCCGTCTGTGGAATTCCCTTCCTATTACTTGTTTCTCTGATAGCTATAATCTCCAACTATTCAAATGTAATGTCAATAGACATCTTCAGATGCCTTGATCTGTTCCCTGTCCTTCTCTTCATCCTTTCCTCTATCACACCTCTTTACTCTTGCTCCCACTCTCTGTAACCCCTTGCGTGCTAGTGGTTTTCTTGCCTTGCTTGGGGTGAAATGCTAAAAAAAACAAACAAAAAAAACACAAAAAACAATTATCTTATTTCTTAAAAAGAAAGCATTAGCAGGCTAAGTGTTAACTAGTTGAGAGTTGTTACCTGAGATTTTAATTAACGATGTTCATAAAATGTGCAGTTACAAGGTGCATCTTAATATATTATCTTAATATAACAGGTTTTAATGCATCAAGGTCGGAAGGTCATTAGGGATGCATTCATAGCTGGTCAAGTAGGCGGATGCTAGGCGACCACCTTGTCTTGCGTCATGGTTAGGTTTTCAGAAAAGTAGATCAGCAATGTCCTGAAAAGCACATTTTCTTCTATGTCGAATAACAAGAGAAATTATTTTAATTCCTTTCCATAAGTTTATATGTTACCCAAAAATGAAATAGAATTATAATTATAATTAGAATATATATATATATATATATATATATATATAATTCCACTATTTCCTGGTTTGATTCAACTCTGCCATTCATCTTTTATGCATTATAACTCTCGCTCCTGTACAACTGAGAGCTTCATTTACAGTGTATTTTGTTTACACTTTCATGAACCATCTTAACTGACACATTCTAACATACTTTATGTTTTATGTGTATTAATTCATTTTTTTTCGAACGCATCAAAATTGTTTATTATTCACAGAACAAACTGTAATGCAAGAATTCAAAATACCGCACTCGCTAAAAAAATATTCCTATTCCAAACAAGGAGGAATACAGTTTAATTTTATTACAAAAGATTGAACAATTCCTTACCAGGATGAGATGAAAGACACTCTTTTCATTGAATAAATTTTTAAAGAACAAAGGAAACACGGAAAAATTCTATTTCAAAACTAAAAACTACCCACCTAACTTTGAAAAGGATATGCTTGGCATTATTGACAACATCAAATTCACAAAAGTTAATAGCAATTTTCAAAAACTATTAACTGCTGAAGTAAAAAAAAGTACAAAAATAGTCTAATTAAAGGCGACAAAACAAAGAACAGTTATACCATGAACCCAGAGGCTTACCGGAAAAAAATAAACGAAGTCACTAAAATTTACAAAAAGCACCAGACTCGGATATTAAAAGTATAAATGAGGAGGCGAAAAATATCACAGCCAAACTAGGGATAAGCAACAGGGTTTACATATTATGCTGCAAGCAAACATTTCAAATCATAAAGGGCCATAAAGATGAATTCCCAAATAATCCTTCTTTTCGTCTAATAAACCCAACTAAAACTGAACTGGGAAGCAAGAAATATTTAAAAAAAAATATGCGTCTTATTAAGAATTACCACACAGGCGCCAATCAATGGAAGGATACAAGTGAATGCATTTGTTGCTTCCACAAAATCACAAATAAAAACAAATATGTATTTATAAAATACGACATTAAAAACTTTTATCAATCTAAATCTGAGAAAAAGGCTTTGTAAACATAGCAATTGTTCAAATAATTTTAGATTTTGCTGCAAATCAATTTTATTCCACTCTGAAGTAAACTGGGTTAAGAAATCAAAAAAAAAAAAAAAGACGGCTTCGATGTACCACGTGGTTCGTTTGATGATGCTGAGGTTTCGGAGTTAATAGGACTACATATCTTATATGAAATTAACAAAATTGTACATATAAACAACCACGATCTGTATAGGTCTGATGATAGCGTCAAACAACAGAAGAATAAATGTCACTATAAGAAAAGCGCTTTTTAAACTCTTCAAAAGCCTCGGCTTTGAAATAGAAGTCCAATTGAATAAATAAGTTGTCAACTATCTGAACGTAGAATGAAATTTTCAAGCTGGCAGTGTCTCCCCATACATGAAACCCAACGCAAAATTAAAATTCGTGAATATTAAATCTAACCGCCCTGCGAGCATAATAAATGAATAGAGTCTAGGTTATCCAGAAACTTCCTGTAAAATAATTTTTGAGGATAAAAAGAAAGAATATGAGAACTTAAAGGAAGAGGGTCACAAAACCAAACGAGAATTTAAACCACAAATTAAACAACATACAAAGAATAATTCGAGGAAAAGAAAAAATATCATTTGGTTTAACCCCCTTTTAACTTAGAAATAAAATGTAAAAGAGGGAAATTATTTTTCATGTTACTTACTAAACACTTCCCCCAAAAATTCAAAATTACATAAGATATTCAATAAAAACACAAAACAGTTAAATTATCCTACAACTGCATTAGAAACAATAATAAATAAACAAAACGCCGGAAATTTCAAAACTAATACACAGCAAAATATAGTTAACACTAGTAATTTATGCAACTGCAGTAATTTTTAAAAAATGTCCATTAGATAGTGCTTGTAAAACTGTAATCTATAAAGCAGAAGTAACAGATATTAATGGCCAAATTAAAACATACATAGGATGAACTGAAAGTACTTTCAAACGCAGCTGGTACAATCATAGGTCATCATTCAAGCTAGTAAGTCTTAGGTGCTGTACAAATTAGTTGACCATGTGCGAAATTTAAAAGAAAAAAAAGGGATCCGATTGTAAGTTGGAAAATTTTAAAAAAGGTATAGCCTTATAAAAACCATAACAATATTTGCAACCTCTGCCAACAGGAAAAATTAGCATTATGACATTTCCAAATCTAAAGAACCTTTTGAACTAGAAAACGAGGTCTTGAGTCCTTGCATACATATTAGGAAATCCCTCTTAAGTACATATGAGGTGAAAAAAATGTACATTTCAATTAACCCCACCCTGATAAATTTATAATAGCTTTTCTCTTCTTCTTCTTCTTCTTCTTCTTCTTCTTCTTCTTCTTCTTCTTCTTCTTCTTCTTCACATCCTCTACCTCCCTTTCTATTACACCCAACGTCACGCGTTTGTTTATTCATT